GAGTATCGGCGGGGGCGGTAGTAGGGGTAGGAGGGAGGGGAGAGAAGGACTCCTTAGACTGGCTGAGATGGGGAGCTTTGAGGATGGCAGTCGAGGGGCCGAATGGGCTTCGTGGTGCGGGAGGTCGACGGGCGAGCGGATCGGAACCAGTGCCGGCGAGCGAGCGCCCCGAGAGAATGTGTTGCCTCCAGCGGTCAGTCGGCCTTGGACAACCCCCGTCGGAAGGTGGTAGCTTAAAGTGAGCACCGGTTTCGGTCGTTTGGCTCGGATCTCTGAAACGGTTCCCTCAGGCGATGCTAATACAAAGGATCAGATGATGAGCTATTTGAACCAGCTGCTGGTCGTATCATAGAGAGACTCACAGTTGGGTGATTTGAAGTCCATGCTGATCTCCTTTTGGTTTATGTGGGGTAACGTCTTGTCCTGGACGAGTGGATATAAAGGGCGTAGCACAAACAGAAGGACTGGGAAGAGATAGATTCTTTTTTGTCTTTTGACTGAGAGATGGAGGCAGACGGATGATGGAATGACAGCTTTGTGTTCTGGGTTGGTAGCTGTGATGAGTTGGGAGAGAGAGGTGAGGGAAGAAGGACGGATTCCTGGTCTTATTTATAGTGAATCTCGCAGTCTTTGGAAGGCAGCCATTCGCAAGAGAAACCCCCATGAGTCTTCGCACTCTTAACGTTGCAGGAGGGAATAATCCGGAGAAGGACATGGACGACTAAAAACTAGTGCCCTGTTGGCCCCAGAGCCAATCGCTTCCTGTTCCTGTACCTTTTGTAGTAGCCACGAGAGGAGAACAGGGGCCGACGAAGTGTCCTGGCGAGGAACAAGCCATATAGCAGCCAAGTGGGATTCTTTCGCATTCATTCATTCATTCATTCCTTTTTTTTTCGATGGACACTTCGAGTCTACCGTCGAGTCTAATGGACCTTGCCGGGATAGCTCAAGGGGTTAGGAACGCGATGGCAGCTGATGTCTAGATCCACATGCGCCAGAACAATATGTAGTTGTTCCAGCCAGGGCGAGCATTGGATCCAGGTGGGCATACATCCACAATCCGCTTCGTTGGAATAGTCTATCCCCCCGCGTTTTCCCTCGTCTCGTCAGAGCTTTGACAGAGGTCATCACCACCTGCGATCGGCATCCACAACTCGGTCCTGCAGTGAATCAAAGACTTATACCGCATGAATCGCACCAAACATATTAACACTTCAACCAATTCCTTGTTGAGGCGCATTCAATAGTCATCAGGCACCCGTCCACCTGAAGAAAAAACGGACTCCAATGCCACCAAGGTTGCTGGGTTCATGACCAGTATGACCTTGGCAAGTTCAGAGTGAGATGGACATTCTACTTTACGATGCGCTGTCGCTTTTTCTTGGCATTCTACTTCACGATGCGCTGTCGCTTTTTCTTGGTGTCAATGTTGACTGCCCCAAGTGCCTTTTATCAAATGAATCCATCCCAGACAAAGAACCATATATAGTGAGTTTGAGTAGAGTGGCTCAATGGTAGTAGAAACGGCCTGGAGCCCGTCCTTCACAATGAGATTGATGGGGTGAGCTAAGCACCAGGAATGGAATCGAGCTGAGGTTGCAGAATCAGTATTAAAATGCTTGAGACAAGTGATAACTATTAACTATTGCTTCATGAGTATGACCTTTGCAAGCTCAGAGTGAGATGGGTATTCTACTTTACGATGCGCTGTCGCTTTTTCTTGGCATTCTACTTCACGATGCGCTGTCGCTTTTTCTTGGTGTCAATGTTGACTGCCCCAAGTGCCTGTTATCAAATGAATCCATCCCAGACAAGGAACCATATATAGTGAGTTCGAGTAGAGTGGCTCAATGGTAGTAGAAACGGCCTGGAGCCCGTCCTTCACAATGAGATTGATGGGGTGACCTATTAAGCACCAGAAATGGAATTGAGCTGAGGTTGCAGAATCAGTATTAAAATGCTTGAGACAAGTGATAACTATTAACTATTGCAGGCTATGAAAAAGTTACTTCCCTCACCCATGACCTGCCATAACACATAGAAAAACTGGCCTCCAAGAGTGCAATTTCACTCTCAGAAAGTGATTCTGAAGCCTGATAGGGAGGATTGAATGTCTCTTCTTGCTCTATTGATCAGGAAGCTAAAAACATAACTACTGGAGGACTTTCCGTCGCAAATTAGAGCACTTTTTAGACCTCTCTCAGTCTTAAATTAAGAAAGCAATTAAGATCCCAACCAGCTCATGTGAGATCTATTGCCGGGAGGCTTCAGAAAAAAGATTTCTTTGATAAAAAATTAGATCTAGGGGGTGTAAAACAACTTCTGGGAGGGTTGTAGATTGCGACGGGAAGTCATCCACTGTGTTTCATGGTTTTGTTTAAATATGGTTTCATTGATGTTTTGTTTAATTTAGTATGGTTTGACTGCTGCTAACATTGATGTTGAAGCCACACCACATGTGAACTTTTAAGGTTTATTGCAAGTAAAACAACTGAATTGGATGTAGGAGTAACAGTATACCAACCAAGAAATTCATGGCGTTGGTTGAAGGGCTGGATCATTTTTGATCCATGTTTGATTCAGATCAGAACTCAAAAAAGAGAGTTCTGATAGGACCCCACTGAGCCCTGTGGGTAAACACACTTATGTCAATCTAGGCAGTTGCTACATGAAAGAATTTTTTGGTGAATTTAGATACCACATTTACACTAGAGATTAACACCAAAACAAACCAAATTGCCCTCCAAAAAAAAAACCTGGCAGACATCTTGCTGAGGTGATGGGCTCTAAAGATCAAGATGTCATTGATCTTTCCAAGTTTTGGTAGCTGGGATTGACAGTAATAAAACTACAGGCTGAAAAATTCCCAACCTTCTTTGGTGGGTGGGCTTGGGCAAGCACCCCGACACAGTTTGTAAGTCCCTCCCTGCGGGAGGAATCACTTTGCCATCAGCCAAACTTAAGCACCACCCAAAACCAACCTCCCACATAGGGAGGAGTTTGTGAAGTTAGGTGTATGCTTGGGTAAATGCCTGGAATCAGGTTCATGTCGCCTGACACCTTTTGACATCTTGCCAATGGCCTGCGCCACCTTGACTCATTATTTTCAGTGGGTATACACTTGAGCAGAAGTGTTTTTCAAATCATTCCTTAATCCACGCTCCAAGACAAATTCAAGAATTCAAGATAACATTGCTGCAATTGATTGGTGCCGCCTTGAGGCTGGAGTGTTGAAATGGTAATCGTTAGAAATATGATTTGGGACTGCTTTAATCCTCAATTTTTATAGATGTTCAATTTAATGCAAGATGGGAAGGAGTACGCTAATCTAGACAGAAAAATCAAGCAAGCTCAAGATGAAGCAAAGAGGCAAACAATGGATTTAGGGGTTACGATGCGTTGAATCTGAAAGCTTTGTTGAAGTTTCGAGTGGCCAGCTGGTGAAGATTGTTCCATCGATAGAACCAAGCTTTGTAGTAAATCTTACGAGAAGGTTGATTTCCCTGATGGAACACCGGAGGAAAAACGTGGTTGATCGCAGATAAGATGGTTTTAGGAGCACTTTGAAGATGGGTGATCGAATCGTGGGTAGCGAGAATATTTTCGATCGGATCCTCTTCAAGTTCTCCGCAAAGAGCCTTCACAAGCTTCTCGATACTTTCAGAAACCTCGACAGTCATTCCAGCAAATATATCGAGCTCTCTAGAAGTCAGATCAGTCACTGTGCTGAAGTTTGTTTGATCGCTCGTCATCTCCAACAGCTTGGCGAAAAACAATCTCGATAATTTGATGATTGCTATCACCGATATTATAGTATGAGGTTGATTACTGATGGGTGGAGCTCTCTCGGGTCTGGCATTCGCATCTTCATTCACAAGGTGGGCTTCAAGCTGAGGGCCAGAGTCGGGTGCAGGTCGATTGACGAATTTGAGAAACGTCTGAAGTGCGTCGTCCATCGAGTCTATATGCGACCGCCAGGCGTGTTGGAAGATCTTCAATTCAGATAAATCCATGAAATTTAGTGTCATGTCGATAGCATCCGAGAAATTCGATGCGATGGTCAGCACTTCGTTCTTCTTTCGAGGTGCATCGACGGCAAAATTATGTCCCAAGTCTTCAATAAAACGACAAGAGGTTCGAAGTAATTCACAAACGTATCCAGTTGTCTCGTATGTCATCAGCCCCAGACGGCAACATAACGCTTTTTTCGCATTTTTGTAGTCGTGGTCGTGCCTCACTTCGAGTACATTTAAGTCTGGGTTGATACAAGCTATGGCAAATTTGATTTTACCAAGGGTGGCATCCAGTTTCGATATGATTTTCAGGATTTCTTTTAATTTCGAGACTGGCGTGATTTGAGAATTAGCGGGGGTGATAAGTGTTCTTGAGAGGGCAAAGACTTGGCGTCTTAAGGTGTAGAAACGTTTTGTGCGCAGTTCTTCTATGAGCTCCGTTCTGCATTCGACTTGGTTGAATAGTACCATGGGGTCTGGACGATTGACGATACCATCCCAGAGTGTGACATATACATTATTGACTCGTGACAACTCACGGGCGACCAAATCTACAGTTGCGTCGAATCAAATCAGTAAGTCTTCCCAGGTCTGCAAAATATGGATGGCGCCCTGCATGGCATACATACTCTCGTGGTATCTGATTTGTATTTCAGCATTTGCCTCCCCGAGTGAGCTGAATCTGCTGATTAGTCTAGACATCGGCCTTCCTTCAGAGTCTCCTTCAGAGTTTGCCATGGTGCTGAACTGTCTCGAGGCAAGTGTCGGAAAGCCTGGCGGTAGTTAGTCAAAAGTTGAAACAGTGACCAGGTGAAATTTTTTGCACGGACTCCCCGGTACGGTGCCCCAATAGGAAACCCTTGCACGCTCCACCGAGCGCGGAGCCGCCGCGGGGTCGCTAAAGCAACCACAACAAGAAGACCGCAGACCCTATTAAAAAGTTTAACATAAAACCTCAAACCGGTGCCATTTTCCAAAAGAAAGCCAAGTTATGCTTTAACCCGGCTATAGCTCACGTATGCAAGGCGTTGAATCCAAATTTGAACCAAGATTACACCTTGTATGGGAGGTACTGAGGCAAGAGGGTGTTTTTAACAACTTTGAAATTTGAATAGAGACACAGCAAAAGTGAATCAGGCAATGGTTTGGAGTCTCAAATCCCAGGGAATAGTTTCAATTTTGTTAGACAGACCAGATGTCGAGTCCGAGGGCACAATCCTGTGTGAAGCCTTGAACAGGATAGATTTTGCAGGCTTCCCACCTCATGAGTTAGAAATTAAGGTCAGAGTACCTATAGTTCTATTGAAGAATTTAGGAATTGATCAAGGTCTCTTCAATGGGACCAGGATAGTTATTGAGGGGCTCAGTCCAAAATCAATCAAAGGGAGAATTCTCACAGGCCCATTCAGAGACAAGGTAGTGCTTGTGCCAAAGATTACACTTCTTCATGAAGGAGATTCAATGGTAAACTTTTTGTTTTATAGATACCAATTCCCTGTAGCATTAGCTTTTGCTATGACCATCAACAAATGCCAGTGCCAGAGTATGAATTATGTGGCTTTAGTCTTAGAAAATCAAGTATTTGCCCATGGTCAATTGTATGTGGGCCTATCACAAGTTAGACATGTCAAAAATCTTTTTGTTACACAAGTATCAGCAGATAGCAAAGTAGTCAATGTCATAAATAAGATATTGTTTAGAGAAAAAAATATAGAAGGATTAGATCCGGATGAAGATCAGATGAAAGAATAGGTTGAAGGAAAATGGAAAAATGTGGGTAGGATAAGTAGTTGAAATAGGCAAATTAATTAGTTTTAGTTTATTTGGAATAAGATTAAATAATTGACGAAATAATTGGACAAAATTGTTTGGCCGCAAAGATGCCTCTAAACACTAGTCCCACATATATGTAGGGCCTGCAAGTCCCATGCAATGCTAATAGCAAAACCACACTTTTTTTTTAAAAAAAAAGTACCAAAACCACAGCCACCACGGGGCCTCTATGTGATTGTTGGGCCTTAGAACATCATTATTGTTTTTGGCAGTTAAGCGCATGGATATAATTGCTGCCTCAACCACATTGATTTGAAGTTAAACAACAAAGCCACATTAGCTAGATCAGTTAGCTATGTCTCAACCACATTGGCAATTGATGCCACCAAATGCAAGAACTTTACAACTGGGATATGGAAGACAAAGATGATGAAGACACAATCAACATCTTTAGCTGAATTCATCAGCACAGAACCCAAGGCTTCAAAATGATCTCATTGGTTACAATTGGGCTTGTTATGGGGCAAGAAATCATGTATAATCTCAGTTTCTCATTGATTCTTATTCATGTTTGCCATAGAAATTGAGGATTTTAACAGAAAACCTAGTAATAAAATTAAAACATAATCTTTTGAGTTTTTTGAATTTTATTTGGAGAGAAAAACTAGTGTGACTAGAAGTTATCAGGAGATGAGAGTGTGACACAGAGCAGATGAAAAACAGGAAGTTTGCATCCAAATATCTTCTTGTTTCTGGCTATCTTCTTGAATGGAGTCCTCTGATATCTTTACCCAGATTTTTGCAAGCTTCTCATATCCTCATTTGGAAGCCAGTTTGCCCCTTGTTTGGGAGGCATTTGATTTTTGTGTGTTGAGGTGTGATTAGGGTGGCTGATGTGTGTTGAAGTGTGGGGGTGTGCTTGTGGTGGTGATGTGGTCTAGCTTTGTGTTGGTGAGCAGTGATAAATAACTGGTTTACCTTTGTTGATAAGGGTTGATAAGTCTGTCTTATAATAGGGAGAAGGGCCAAAATTCCCTATCAAGCTGTATTTATACAGATTCAGTGGGGCCAAAAGTCCCTATCAATACAGATTCAATAGGCTCCAAAAATACCTATCACACTGTATGTATACAGATGCAAAAGGGACTGTCTGATTGCCCCCAAGAAGTGTAAAACTTCTAACATTGAAAGTTTTCACACACCATCACGCACAACACAACCCAAATCAATCATATTTCACCAACATTTGAAGTTGATGCAGATACTTACAGTGGACAAACCAGATCTGTTAGGTTTTTATCTCAGTCTCTTGGTCCCTATTTGATGTTTCTAGGACCCACAGTGGTGATTCTCCAAGTAGATTAGAAAATCCCAACCCTATTCTGGTCCTAATCAGGTCTCTCTGGTAAATCAGCTCCTTAGGAAACTTTCCATTGAGTAGAAATTGAACAGAGAAATCCTTCCTTGGAAAGATAATGGGTTCCAAAAAAGCACCACCAGATGAGTACTCCCAACCTGATGACAAGAAAATGATGAGAGGCAAGGATCCGCAGGGGAATAGAGATATCAGAGATGCTTGAACCTGATGTGAGTGATTTTAATGTAGCAAAACCTGTTGAAGGGCACATCCTCTTGAATTCACACTCTCAGGGGAAACAGAATCTCCCCTGCAATTCTTTAATGCCCTTCTGATGAAATTTAAACCAGAGAGGCGGAGAAATTTCTTTGAAGAGAAAAATTTTTGGGCAACAAAAAGAGACTTTTTGTTGGAAAGACTCAAGGGTCGGAAAAAGAGGGTAAGAGCCAATGTGTTTTTTACTTAGAGGAGACTACGCGTTAAATAGTCTACATACAAGAGGTAAAACATGTGGTTGAGAAAAATGAATATCAAAATGAATAAAACAGATAAACATATGCTTGAAAAGATGTCTGGAATAAGTGTAAGTTGATAAAGACTAGACCAGGGTTTGAAGACTACAAGGATTGCAGCACTAGACAACATAACAAAATATCACACAGAAACTATCAAAAACAAAGTAAAAATCATGTAAATTATTTATGAAATCATGTTGAATTTAACAGTGGGATAGATGAGTTTTTTAGGGATGAGAAGAAAAAGAGATGAAATTCCAAAACCTTCCAATTTATAATCTGTGAGGTGATAACCAGTCCAAAGATATTCCAAAAGAGGGGTATACTTAGTATGCTCTTGGGCAGGTCTGGATTCATCAGCCTTTGAACTTCCTCACCTGATATATGATCACCACAAGCCATAGAAAAGAATCTTTCAGATTTGAGAAAATTGAAGTGCTTGTTTTTTTGGTGGGGAAAAAAGGATATTTCTCCAGCAACCAGGATTAAAAACTTACCAACTTATAATTCACTCAAGCTAGTTGTCCTTGATTAATTTAGCAGGTACAAAGATTCAAGCTTAATTGAACATGAAATCTTGATACCTTCATAAATATCAATTCCATCTTGACCACATCACAAATATTAATTCCATCTTGAGCACTTCATAAAAATCAATTCCATTTCAAGGAATTCACATATATGAATTCTTGCCTATCCCACTAGCAACAATGGGCCAGACTCCAGTTAGACTAAACATAGTTTTAGTGCAGCCTAACTTATCAGAATTGCGCTAACATTTAGCAGAGCACAGAATAATTCCGCCACAACTGCGCTAACACTACACACACAGGCCATAAAAAGGGCCCATTACACTGCGCTACAGCACATTTTAGTGGGCTTTTGGCTGTTTTTGCCACTAAAAGTGCTGTATTTCAGTGTAGTGGGACTAACAGTGTGCTAACACTGAAGTTTTGGTGTGCTTTTTTGAAGGCCACTATGCTAATTTTAGTGGGATTTTTAGTTTAGTGTAGTGTAGTGGCCCTTGGCTGCTATCAGCAAGTATAGCAAAGCTCTTGTGATGCCCTCCATGCTTTGCTGGTATAATATCAATATACGCTTGCAGAGAATCATGTAGAGCATTTATTGAGGTCTCATTATCAAATCCCCAGTCCCTGTTATATAATTCAAGCATTAATCTCTGTTCAGGCAATATCAGAAGTACGATTGTTGGTGCTTCCTTTCAGCAGATGTTTGCTAAGGTAAACCTTTTCCAAGCCTGTGGAGGTTTCTGGGAACCAGTTTTGCAGAATTGTTGTTCTGTTTTTTGTCATTTTGATTGAATTTTTGATTTGAGGAGCTTATTTAATTGAGCAAAAGAAATAAAATTCAACATATCCTGATTTCATCATGGAAGCTTGCTTGGCCCCTGCATGCAAGTGCGGTCACATAATACTTTTTTGGAACCCTGTTAGATGGCTTCTAAAACTTACCTTAAATTAAAATTGATTTATGATGAATATATGTTTAATTCATGCACAGGTAATCTAAATTCATACTGGAAAGGAGCTGGATTCAACTTGAAACAATATCAAACTTGATTGGATATATAACTGTAACTCTTCTAGATCTACAACTGATTTTACAGGCCACATCAACATACTGAAAGAAACAAGGGTCTTTTCAATGGTATAGTACCTTTTTTTAATTCATAATTTTATTATTCACCAGTTGGCAAATGAACAGGTTTGAATTACATGTCTTGAAACCAACAGAATTGAATTGCACTAAAATTATTGACTAAACTTTGGGCCGTTTCTGGGAGTTGGATGCCCAATTTTATTTTTGTTTTTTTGGGAGTTGGATGCTCAAACCACCCCTCACACATGGGGGGGGGGGGGGGGGGAGTTGCTCCCCCCTTTACAAAAAAGAATCCCTTCCAGTCAGTGATGCAGCTGTACCTCACTGACAAGAAGTGATTCTTTCTGGTCCAAGAGGGGGCTGTGGCTCATTTTACCAGAAGCAATCCCTTCCAGTTGATGAGGTAGCTGTACCTCACTGACCAAAAGGAGTTCTTCTTGGTAAATGCTCCCCCAATATACTAAAAAACACAAGGTTTGTAGTGAAAGTGTGTCTGGGTTCCACCACCAAAGGGCCAGTTTGTATCTTAGTGTAGTCAAATTCTGCTAAAATATAGTGTAGCACAGCAGATTTCTGCTGCATCTGCACTAACACCACATGAACAGGCCCTCAAAATTCTCCCACTACTGTTGAAATTATTTTGTCTCCAGGTTTCCTTTTCTTGTCCCTGTCACTCCTTTTCATCATGTCACTCATTACATTCCTCTTTCCATGCATATTCATCTCACCTTTGTCCCACAACCTGTTCCTCATTGTTTTAATAGCTTGAATAAACTGATTGGATAAGAGAAATAACACATCTTTTTCTCTGCACCTGATCCCTGTAGTCTTTACTGGATACAACTACCTGTAGCATGTGTGCTTTTCCACCATACAAGCTAGCAGACTCATGTGTGCTTTTCCACCATACAAGCTACAAGACTTAGCCCTCTTTGAGGGCTTGAAGACCATTGTTTTTCCCTCTGATCTTTTCATCCAGACTCTTCATTGCCCGGTCTCTTCCCTCTTCTCCGGCCAAAAGTCCTGAGTTTCTTCAACTACACTGCACAAAAATGCTAGTTATTTCCCGTTAGCAAAAACACACTATCAGGGTGTTACCATTATGCAATCTGTGTGTGCAAAAAAGCACCAAGGTGAGCTTTTTGTGCAAAAAGCATAGCATGTTGTAAGGAATCTGTCAATTCCTTCACATTCTGTTGGAGAGGCACTAAGGAAGGAGCTCAAAACCTCCTGCAGAGAAGCTTCTAGTACCAAGGTAGGGTGAATTGTGGTCTAGAAAGGAGAGAAGGATCTCTCATTATTATATCAAGTGAAGGAAAATGAGAAGAATAATGAAAAGAGAAGGAAGGAAGACAGGGTACTTAACTAGACAGGAAATAAAAATCTCTGCTGTCCAGGTGAAGGGGAAAGGTCAGACTAAATGCAAAGAAGATCTATGCTTATGTGGTCTTGTGACATGGTTGTGTAAACCTGTGAGGAGCAGGGCTTAAAATAGTGTAGTGGCCTGTTTTTGGTTGCACAGTTGTAAATCAATATATGATAAAGAACACAATGTGTTAAAAAACAGACAAATCTTGATCAAACCAACAGAAATAGGCACCAAAATCAGTAAAAGTAGATGTTCAATGGTGAATAATGAACTTATAGCAATGGGGGAACAAGTAAGTAGTTTATTCTAAAGTGCAGATATCCAGGGGTAACAATAATATAACTGATGATAAAGATGTTTCAATCATGACAAAACTGATGAGAAAGATGTTTCAATCATGACAGAACATGATGGCATGGGAAATATTCATCATAATCAGAAACTGTGGATTTCTTTGTGAAGGTTCCCAATCAGAAAGACATAAACACTACTTATCTGAATAGAAATTTTTTGAATAAGAGTTGATTGGGGGTAAATTTAGAAACATTAGTTAGTAGCACACAAGGTCAGGGCATCAATAACATGCTCACTTCTAATCCTCTTATGATTGTGGTTTTTTCTGTTGGAATCCCCCAAAATAGAAACACCATCTGCCTCCTCTTCCAGTTGTTCACTGTGTTGTGAGCCATCACAAGGTCTTTTTTGGTGTGAGATGGTGGGTTCAGCATTTTGAGAGATGTATTGCATTTTCAGCTCAGCAGCACTTCCTTGTATGGCACTTTCTGATGTGCTTTCAGCACTGGAGCTGAGCTGGTCAGAGAAGCTTTGTTGATCAACTTCACTATCAGCCTCAGAATTGGAAAGCTCATCAGAATCACTGTCAATTCCATTTCTATCGCAACATTTGCTTTCATTGGTCTTGTCATTATTGCAATACACATTATCATCTTCATCTTCTAGATTGTCTTCATCTTCATCTTCCACTTCATTTCCACCTCCCTCTTCTTCCTCTTCCTTTTCACCTTCTTCCTGATTGTCTTCCTGATCTTGTGTATCTTCTTCTGGGCTCACAGCCCTCTTGGGATACTCCTTGGGTTCATCATTCATCAATCGATTGATAGAAGCTGGAAGTGCACCCAGGCTATAGGTTCTGAGAGATGCAAAACTTTAATGAGTGCTGATATCATACTGCCAGTGTCTTTTCAAAAGTACACTCACCTGTGATACACTGGTGGTGTATGTGTTGGAATCATGCTTTTTAAGGGTGGTAGCAATTTGAAAGAATCAATGTGATGGGACAAGCAAGGTTGCACAACCCGGCCCTGTCTTGAAGAGTAATCCTTATTCTTCAGATGATTTGAATCAACAGAATTTCTGCACTGGTCTGCTAGAGGGTCAGTTGAAATGGGGGACATTGATTCTGTGGATGGAGCTCCACTGTATCCTTTAACAGAATTGTGATGGCTGAGATTTGCAGCTTCTAACTTCCCCAGGGCCTCTTTGGCGGTTTTCACTGTGAGTTTGAAACATGTTAGTTGATGAAGAATTTGAATTTTAGAAGCATATTGTCTCACCATAGCGTGAAAGTGTTTCTTGTTGTGATGGTGAAACCTTGCATTCTTTATTTTCAGCCAGCAGAGTGACCATCTCAGTGAGTAACCCTAGCATGGAAAAAACATGATTCCCTTTTGGATCTTGATGAGTTAGGGTGTCATTGAGCCGGCGCAGCTCACCCTCTATCCTAGTAAAAGGTGAACTTCTGCTGCAAGCTTCTTGCACACTGCTCCATGAAAAGCTCCTTTCAGTCACTTCCTCTTCCTTCACATTGCCATTTCTGGAATGTTGAGAATGAGATGTGATGGGGTAACTAGCATTTAATGGGAGGCACATAGAATGTGGAGAACATGGTATGAAGCAGTTTTTCTTTGGACTGGCCTGTGTGGGTGGTGAGAATTTTGAGCATGAGTGCTTCAGAAGTGGAGAGGATGACTTCAATTGTGAATGTGTTGAATGAGTATATTGAAACTGCTGGGTGAGTATAGGATAAAGAACTGGGGTACGTGGTGGTATGTTGGAATTTCTAGTAGGAAGGGATGGTGGTGGAGGTGGTTTTCCATGAAGAGGATGATTTGATGAGGGTAGGATGAGGCTTGGATTTTTTTTGAGGAGGCAAGACTGAAATGCTTGAGCAGAAGGACCTGGAACACCTTTGGATAATGGCACCTGTCTCTGAATGTGAATCCCACCAAGCTGTGATGTAGCTTGAACATTGGCAAGGGCACTGTCAGCCTTAGATGCACCATGATGCTTGGTTGACTTTCTTTTTATCATTGGGAGAAGATCTGGGCGATTTTGTTTGAAGAAAGGATGTCTGAATTCCCATGCCTGCACAGTGTCTGTTTGGCAGTGTGAGCTGGAGAGTAGGTCATTGACCTACAAGAGCCGCATCACAAACACTGTTAATAGGGGTCTTGATGAACTTTTCAAGCCAAGGAAAATCTGAGCATGCTTACTTTATGAAAGCCATACATATTGAGCTGGCGCACAAAACTCTGCCAATTGTTATGCTTAAAGTGCAAAGGCAATATGACTCGTGAAAATTTGATTGGATCATAAACACAAAAGACATCCCCTGCTTTGGACCAGCTAATCAGTGGCTGTTCTGGGTTTGGCTCTTCAGGTGTGGGTTGATTCTTGTTTTGGACCATTCTACTCAATCCACTCCCAGATTGTTAGATGAATATAACACCTTGGAATACTATTACTGGGCTAGGAAAATTGTCAACTTACATGTAGAGCTTTGGCACAAAGGCTGCCTGAGTTTTACCAGTCTTTTGGAGTAAAGATTGGTTGGCAGTCACTTTTTCATTAGCAACAATGGTTCCCATATTTGCAGCTTGATAGAGTATGTGTCAGTGGCAAGTGAAGATGAAGGGGTGTTTCAATGATCTTATAAAAAAATAAGGCTGGTTTAGTGCTGGAAGTAGCACCTTGAGTGAATGTTGGTTTGAAATGCTGGACTAGCTCTAGGTAGCCACAATACTATGGCTCTTGAGTCTCTCTATCTACCCAGAAAAAAAATATTTTTGGATTGAACAAAGATATGTTGAGAGCCCAACTGTCTAATCAATTTAAAAGGCACAAAGCCTCAAGAATTGATAGCCAAAAATCTGAATCCTGCTTGTATGATATGGTGCTGCATGAAAGATAAAAAATGTGACAAAGAATAAAGATCAAGCTGAAAATGAAGGAATAGATAGGTATGCAGTGGGGTAAGGAAGAAAAGGAATGAGGTCTTATTTTTATATTTTTGGCATGTGCCTCTGTCAATGAGTCTTTAGAAGGGAAATGTGGGGATGCTGTTGGCCAAAGGCTGTGGCAGATCCATAGAAAGCAACTTGCTGTGTGAATATGGAAACAGCCAGAGGGATAGGGAATTGTGGTGTGAATGTATCTCTTAATATTCATGAATGGGAAAGAAGCCAAAATTTTCAGTCCAGCCTCTTTTTCTCCCCAAGAATAGAACAGACACTTCCTGTAGAAGCAATTGGCCATAATTAGCTGATACATGTGTGGTAAGTTTTGATCTGAGCTGACATATAAAAACAAGGATAAATACATTCAGAGAAATCTGAGGTGTGAAACTGATATGTACCTTGGAAAGCAGCTGCGTGAAGCAATGGCCGCTTGTTGCAGCATGTAAGGATTGTTTGAGCGAAAGGACAGCTTGCGGACTATACCAAACCAGCTGATCTGTCCCAGCGTCTATAATCAGAGATTTCTAGATTCTAGGCAAGCCGGGATGTGTAATGGAATAATCTAGTCCACATGGAAAGGTGAAACAAGGATATGAAAGATAACCATTGACACAAATCTCACTGAAGGGTTCGTTATGAACTTGTACTGCCGACATCATGAGATGTCATAGCAAGTATGTTTTTGTGAACAGATGAAATACACCTGGAGTTAGCTACGTGGAGAAAATTGAACCGCTTGAACAGTTTCTTCAGCCGTATGGTCACTTACATAACATACCCGAATTGTCGAATGGATTTGTGTTTGTCAATGCCTCTGTGAATATTGGGCAACAGTCCATGGCCGGTTAGTACCAGGCCAGCCTTATTTTCAGCCCACCAGAGTTAAACGGTCTGTGGAAAGAATGGAACATGATAGTGTGATCAGAAATAAGCTCGCCGATAAATACAAATCGTCCAACAAGGCCAACTGGCGGGTAAAAGTTGATTGAGTGTGCCTTCAAGTTTCAGCGCTAGCCTCACCCCATTATGTATTTTGAAGGTGTTCGGATGTGAGGACGCCGACGAAGCCACCCGTCGTGTCAATGCGGGGCAATGATAATACACCGTATGCTGGCCAGACAGTTTAGTGATAAACATTGTTCTAGATTTGTGAATCGGCTTGCGCAGGCATTGGAAGCTGTACATACTTATGGAACACTTGCCGAAGCCCGAAATTTGGCTGTGGGCCGAAAATCGTAACTGGCTAGTAATCGTGTATCGCTTCAAACCTATTAGTCTTTTGGTTCATTCTCGTAGGTAAACGCGGTCTACAGGGAATCGGGAATTGTCGTGAGCTTGTAAAGTGATTCAGCGAGCTTCAGTGTCAGGCGGAGTAAGGAGCTTTACATTTTGCTCGGTGAAGCGGTATGTCAAAACAATGTATTTACATCTTTCTGCAAGCTCATCCCATCTGAGCTAGCCCGGTAGAGAGCGTCCCGCGGGAATGCCGACAGGCATTGGTGAGCCAGATTCTAGCTTGCTTGGCCTTGCTTGGCCTCTTCATTGATGCTGCCTTGCCTGGAAACATACTGCGCCGATAAACTGGTGCATATATTAATACTCTTTTGATTGGGCCGTGAAGTCGAGTTTGGCGGGTTACAAGTCGAGTCCAATGGACCTCGCCGGGATAGCTCAAGGGGTTAGGAACGCGATGGCAGCTGATGTTTGTTGGGTCCATAGAGCTAGCTGGTCCAGGGAGGGCGAGCTCGTTACTTTTCATGATGATGAATACAAATTTATTGATGTTTTTTCAATGATTCATGAATGAAATACCTATTCTCTTATCTTTAATATTAAAAGTCTAACACATCTCGGGCTACCATCCGGCTTGGTGCTTACAAAGTGAAAGGCTGAAGCTGACACACCCGCGAGAGAGTGAGATATTTGGTTTCGAGGTGTAAATAACGGGCGATTCGTGAACAAGATTGCACAGACGAGATACATACAAAGCTGACCCGAAAGTTCCCCGATGACCCAAGTTGACCGCCCTGCCTGTGCTCGGAGTAAATTATAAGCCGTTGAAGTACATGACCAACGGGCATGTGCATTCAAATCTCAATCCTTGAATACACAGCATTGAACAAGCACCTACACTCAAGGTTTCAACAGCTTCCAACGGCAGACTGGACAAACGTCTTGTCTTCAAAGTTCGGGAAAATAGTTACGGGAAGCCCGATCAGACGACCGCTATACATGCATTCAACTCAGGTAACATCAAGCGCAGCAGTCACTTCAAACACAGTCCAACAACCAGCAAGCACATACGTGAGATATAGACAACAAACACAAGAAGCAACCAAAAAAGAAACTATAAGAAACAATGAAACAATTGAATGAAACGTCAGTGCTCAAGAAGCTCAAGAAGAAGATGCGGAAATCTTGTGAACGATTTCTTCGACCACGCTGGGGTCAGAGAGTGTGGATAAGTCGCCCAAACTGTCGACCTCGTTGGAAACGATCTTCCTCAGTACCCTCCTCAGAATCTTTAAATTCAAAGTCGATGTGGTTGGAGTGTTATTGGTTGAGTTATTAATATAGTGAAGGTGGATCCGATAAGACAAGCGATAGAAAAAGCCCATAGAAAACGTCGTAAACAAATTCAGCACAAAACCCAAAAACATCATGAACTTGATTTGAGAAATCGATTGAGCGAACCTTTCCAGATCTAGTCTTAGGTAAATCGCTGACGATGACGATCTTCTTAGGATTCGAGAAGGGACCGATAGATTTCCGGACGAGCAAGGCGAGCTCTTTCCTCAACTGATCCTCTTGCTCGGTACTATGGAGCTGATGATGCTCTACTTTAAGAATCACGAAAGCACTTTAAGGAGGAAAACAAAAAAAAAGGAAATCAGGCTTTTTCTGATCCAGAGATCATATCCAGAGGATCAAGTTCATCGAAGATCTTACTAGATCGATTGGCCCGTCGTCTCATCAGGTGCCCCTACAACAGCCGTTTCAGCTATCCATGGATGCTGGGCTATGGCGGCTTCAACTTCAGCGGTCGACAATCTATGTCCGGACACGTTCAAAACATCTGGAATATATAGGTAGGTTAAAAATTCAGCAAGCGATGGCCTAACTACCAATCAAGTGGCACTTGTCATAATACTGACCATCTACCCGACCCTTAATCCAGTAGTATCCGTCCGAGTCCCGTCCGGCTCCATCACCAGTGAAGTAATAGCCTGGGTACGGTTTGAAGTAAGTGTCGAGGTATCGCTTGTGATCGCCGTAGATGGTCCGGGCCATTGAGGGCCAAGGCCTCTTAAGCGCTAAGACCCCGCTTCCTGGGCCCTCGATGATCTTCCCGGTCGTCGGCTCCAGCAGGGTGGGCTCGATCCCGAAGAATGGTAAGGTGGCTGAGCCTGGCTTAGTTTCAGTCGAGCTCGCTAGGGGACTGAAAATTGGAAGCCGTTATACTTGTCAGTGCCGATGAAACCAAGGATAAACTTTCGGGCATTTTCTAAGGAGGCTCTCACGTGATAATGATCGAGCCTGTTTCAGTCTGCCAGTAGGTATCCACCACCGCACATTCATTCTTCCCTACATGATCATTGTACCATTGCCACGCATCGGGGTTAATCGGCTCACCCACGGTTCCGATCACTCTCAACGAGCTCAAGTCGTGACCGTCAAGATACGAGGCCCCTAGTTTCTTCAACAATCGGATAGCGGTCCTACGAAATAGACGATTTGAAGAGTTCGTTCAAATTGGATTCCAAAGAGGGTTGAGGGAGTGAAAGTTTCAAGATCTATCGAACCCCTCCAGAGTCCTCCATAACTTACGGGGCAGTATAAAATTGGTTGAACCGGTATTTAGCCACGGTCTGCCAGTACCGCGATGGGGTGGGGTATATCGGCGTCGACTCGAAGATCGTCGTGGCAACCCCATTCACAAGAGGTCCATATATGATATACGTATGACCGGTGATCCATCCAACTTGTAAAATCACGTGATGAGGAAGAAGAACCAATCAATCAACAAATACGAGATATTGGCAATCAATCAACAAATACGAGATATTGGGAAGCCGTTTGAAACCAAGATTGATGATTCACTCACCGTCAGCCATGCAAGCAAACCGGTCGCCCTCCTGAACCTGGAAGACGTGTTTGAGCGTCAAGGCTGCACCCAGAAGGTAACCAGCAGTGGTATGGATCAAACCCTTGGGTTTGCCGGTACTCCCGGAGGTATATAAGATGAAAAGCGGGTCCTCGCTGTCCATGATTTCGATGGGACAAAAGGGCCGGGCAAGCTGACAGACCTCGTTCCACCAGACGTCCCGGCCCTCCTTCATCGGCACTCGCGAGCCTGTCCGGGAATAGACGATCACCTTCTCCACTACATGCTCACCCAATCCACGCGCAATCCCATCCAATGCTTCGTCCACGATCCGCTTCGTCGGGATTGTCTTCCCCCCACGTTTGCCCTCGTCAGATGTGATCACCACTCGCGATCGGGCATCCACCACTCGGTCTCGTAGTGAATCCGCCGAAAAGCCTGCAAAAACTACCGAATGAATCGCACCGATCCTGGCACATGCCAAAAACGCTATGGCGGCAGCTGGAATCATCGGTAAGTAAATGGCGACTGTCTGTTTTTTTCAAAAAAAAAAAAAACAACAAGTTAATGATTGAATTGCAACATGGGCAAAGCAGGCAAACATGGATCAAAGCGAGAAATGAAAGTTCTTACATCTCCTTTCTTGACTCCAAAGGATTTCAAGACATTAGCCAAACGGCAAACTTCCTCGAAGACTTCCTTGTAAGTGAGTTCGATACTATCTTGATCTTCATCAGCGACCCAGATGATGGCCGTCTGATTTTGCAGTAGACACACAGCACAGATACATATCAGCACCATTTTTATGATGAAAAAAAAAAGTGCGTGTTGTCGGGTAAGAGTGGGCGAGACTGACTCGGTTGGGGTCTTTGATCGCCCATCGGTCGAGACAGTTGTAACAGGCATTCAAACCACCGTCTCGGAACCAGGCCACGTTGCCGTTCTGGAAGTCTCCCTGGTAGATCGATGTGTAAGGCCTACTCCAACTGAGAGTCTCTTTTGCTTGCTAGAACATATAAAAGAAACATAACCGAGTCAGTTGGATCGACAAGCACTTCTGAGCGTTTCGCAATTCGGCTTGTTGGCCTCGAAAAGTCACTATGTTTGTATTACAGACAAATCTTGGAAGGCTTGAATCAAAGGAAGGAATGCAGTAAATAATTTCGCGCCCATCATCTCACGGATCTACGAGAATATCTTTTTCTGCTAGGATATTCATATCTTCTAATAACTAAGTCTTAAACCCCCTGACGAATCGCCGGGAGATACGGCTCTAGAGTTGGCGCGGGGTACAATTTAGGAGGGAGTCCTCCTGAGGTAATCAGAGCGAAGTAGAATGGAAGATCTCATGTGACAAACTGTTCGGTGGAGGGGAGAGGAGATAGGCATGGATGTGATCATTAAACAGGTCGCATAAGGAAGTGATCGAGGGTCGATGATTTTTTTTTTTTTTTTTTTTGTATGTATATGACAGATCAATTGGGCATATGTGCAATTCTCCCTGTCAGAGCATGTGACAAGCAAGGATCAAACGAAAGTGTAGGAGCTTAATAAAGAGAACTCTATATTGATAACTTGGATCAGTAATTTAACCAAGTCTCTGCGAATGTAAAGAACGTGTACTGAATGAGGATGTGGGTGAGTTGATATTGAAGGTGAATACCAAGCTCACGATAGCTCGAGGGAGACAGACAGTATATGCAGGTAGATCACCCGAGAAACAATGAGAGTTTGTGTTCAGAAGGAGAGAACGAGTCGACGAACCTGGTCCCAAAACTGGTCGGACTGATCCAAACTCTGGCGGTAGAGGCTGGGATAATCGATGGGCTTGTTGTTGGAGGCCAAGTGTTTGACTCTGGGAGCGATCGGCAGCTTCGGGATTTCCTGCGGACTGGTCGATTCTGATGAAGTCTGCATCCCACTGGTTTTTTTTTTTTGGATTGCTTTTGGGGTATGTGTGTGTGTCCTCTTTTAACTGTTTGTCTGTAGGTTTTCGTCGATTGGAGGATTCAGTTTGTAAGGAAGACGACGGACAAGAGATATTGGAGTGTTTCTCCCCCAATGGAATATAAGCTGCTACAATTTCAATGATGATGATGATGAAGAGGATTTCAGTCCAACTCTGTTGTGCTTGGATAAGCATGATTTGGGGAAACTGTGTAAAGCATGTGACAACTGGATCCCACCTTTCACTGGATCCTTGGTCAGCAACTGCCTGCCCAAGCCACCGTGGGGTACATAAGATGCAAACTTGGGGCATCTTTACCCTTCCCCACGTCTGCAACCCATCGCCCCATGAAGTGAAATGACGTATTTAGCGTTTTTTGAATGGCCTCGGTCACACTCACCTCCCAAGTCCGAAAGTCGGCCGACGGATGCAGCGGCAGCTTGCCATGTCTGACACGCGAGGTTTTATCTTCTTGAGTTGTTTTTAATTATGTACCTCATACATTGTAGGATGGCATGGTACATATTCCAAAAAATTTTAGCAATTTGTTCTTAAGAATCTATTTGAACTTGAGCAGAGAAAACCCACTTCTTGCGCTCAAAGTATTAGGGCACTGCCAGTTTGCAGTTTGCACTAGATTCTATGTAGAAATCAGCAAGCAGGAATTTTCATACAAGGCTTGGGCAAAAGTTAACCCTCCTACAATAATTATTCCATCAGACCTAGTTTCAGTAACACACTGCTGCCAATTGAATTTGTTCATTTCTGATTCAAGTTTGTACATACAGTGGCCAAACCAGATCTTTTTGTCTCACTCTTTTGCAAAGGACTCGTGACCAATCAGATGGACTTGCATTCATAATTTGATAGGGATTTGGGAGAATTGGAAAGATGCATTCCAAGTTAGAATCAATTTGAGAACACACTATAACATGGCAGCAAAACTTTGACCTATTTCTTCTAATTTTGGGAGAAGTTTTGATATTTTTTTACAGTGAAGAAAAAAAAAATCAAGATTGTAAGTATTGCAAGTGAATTAAAGTCAAAGTGTGTTTAATGGTGATAAAAAGAAAATCCTATTATTTCTGAACCAACCACCTGCAGGTTGTTTTGAGGGCAGATGATGTCTGCATGAGGGTACTACTTTGCAAGCTTGTTAGTTAGCTTCTTTGTCACTCATTCAGCAAGATTCTGCTACAACCTTTGTATTTCGAAAAAAAGGAAGATGTGTATGTACCATACCAGTAATTTATCACTCCCACCCACACACCAGAGGGGGGATGAAGGTGTATGGTAGGCGTCATAAGACAGAAGTTCAAAGTGCTGTGTAATTTCACATTCATAACAACAACTTGAAAATAGGCTTTCATTTATGTACAATCTATTCAAGTGCCAAGGTGAAGTCGTTTGTTTCTCGTTTTGTAGGGGCTGTGACATGGGCCACAAATGTTCAGAACTAAGACCATGCATCAGATGAAGAGAAAGAAAACAGCCGATTTGGGTCAATAAGAGGGTGTATGGTGGGCATTGATGAGAAAGAAGAAGGAGGACATACCTTGTAAACCTGGTCCTGACTGAACCCGAGGTCTTTGAGCATCCCCTTGAGTTCTCCTTGCTCCATGTCGTCCTTTGGCCCGGCGACTGCCGCAACTTGTCCCGGTGGCCCACATACGAAGATTTTAACTTCCGAACCCAGGCTCGGCGAAGGCAGCTTGGACTTCAAGACATCCTTGGTCAAGTAGCCCTTCAACTCGCTGGGCCAGTTCTTGGGTGGTTGGTCGAGAGCAAAGTTGATCGAAAATTGCTGGGGTTTCTCTTTGGCTAAACCTGTAGATAAAAGGATGCATCGTTTCATGTTCCGCCGTTATTATGTTTTGTTCTTTTTTCATCCATTGCAAAACTGAAGATCTCAGGTCCTTACGTTCGAATTCTTCGCGAAGAAGAATGTCTTCCTCTTTTTGATTGGCAAAGAGTAGCACGACTTTCGTCTTGTCCTGGGGGTTAGACGCGATCTCCTGTTCAAAGCGATCAAGAGAGGGATATAAAGTATCAGCCTGCATGAATTTGGATGGATGGATGAGCCTGAAAAGCTGACCTGAATGATCTGCCAGTGGGGAGTTATCCCACTTCCACCAGCAATCATTCCGATTGTCTGAGAATAAGAAAAAAATTGTCTACTCAGCGATTTATGGTACAAAGGGAAAGAAAACCAATAATTTGATGAGGAGACATACCTTGAACTCGTTAGGTTTGTAAAGCCACTTCGGAAATGGACCCTTCATTGATAGTTGATCTCCAGGCTTCAAGCTGCAATTTAATCCAGGCAGATGACAGCTGATCAGTGTCATAAAGTGGAGTGAAGAAGAGAGCCGATCAAACCTGAAAATGTGATTGGTCATCTTTCCTTCGACGTAATTCTTGACCATCACTGGTTGAAAATCAATGAGAGAAAAAATCCGAAGAACATAGCCGGGTCGTTAAATTGTCTGACTCAAGTATCCAATAAACATGTCCTGTCTTTGGTCACTCACGGTGCAAGGTGTCCTTCTGCTTAGGTGGGGTTATAGGCTAGAGACGAGTTCAAGGGGGTTAAATGATTTTTGAGATATGGGAATTACGAAGGATGACCAATGGAACTCACAGTATAAGGTCTGATAACAGGTTTTCCTTTGTCATCATTACAGGCTGTGGGTCCCTCCCGAGCTACTGATTTGGTGATGAGACATGACGCGACGTGCAAGCCAGAGTCGGTCCCTTTAGGTAGTTCGAATATGAATGTAGAAGTATTGTGGTTGTAAGGAATCACTTGTTTTAACTTCAAGTTCCTCCATTCTGTTTGCAAAAGATATTTAAGATCAATTCACGCAATTTCAATGAGGGAGGGGGCTACGTCAGATTGCAGACCTTTGGGACTGAGGGCACTTGCTGTAGCTGGTTTTGTGGCGGTTTCCTGGACTTTTTCGACTTCCGATGGTGAAGCTCCCATGGAAGCGTATGCCCACTACAAGCGGTTGGACCTCAGTCAGATCATCCACTTGGACAAGGGACAAGGAGGAATCGAAAGTTTTGGGCTTACGATGCCTGCACCAGCTGCTAATCCACCCAACAAGATTTGTTTCAATGGCATCGAGTTAGGGGAAGGAGCAGGAGTTGAGTAAGCCCGACTGAGGCTATGGCGGATTAGCGGCGATTGGATTAATCGGAGAACCATCGCGACCGGGTATCAGGCGTATTGAACCTTTGGCAACTTCTAGTCTGTCTCTGTAAATTCAATGGAATTGTGTCAGAATTTATCAAGCTTCTCAGCCAATCTAATAGGAAGTCACACTTACATACGATGTCCTAGCTTTGTTCTTTCTGGATGGACTGCTGGTGGTGAGAGTTAATGTTATGGGTGTAGTTGACTTGGCGGAGAATACAGAAATTCTTTCCTTTTTTTCACATGCACAAATGCTGTCCACCCGAATAAACCCCGACCAACCCCTGCCCCTTCCGGTCAACGCTGTGATCCGCCCGCCAGAAGCACACCACACTGCTACACCCAAAGAAATGTACACATTTTGCTTTTATCTTCCAGAAATCATGACTGGTTAGCAGTTTGAAAAAGTTTTACTATCAAGTGAAAAGATGCCATCCATCTCAACCAACCAAGTCTGGTGAGTTAAGTGTGAGTTGGGAGGAGCAGTAAATTCCGGTGCATGTTTGGTTGTCAATCTTTGTATACTATAGTCTATTCAAGTATTTGAAAAAGTAAGGATAGGATCAGTGCCAAGTGGTCTTCATCAAAGAAAGATCAGACTGCATTGATCAGCGCGAAATGTGATTACCTCAATGACTTATTGGTAAGAAGCCTCATATGGCACAAGACTCTCAAGACTAGCAGAATGATGGAGCTTGACTTTTTGAAAACCTACACTTTAATGGAAAAAATTGATTCTACGTAGAAGTCAAAGCTGAGTAAGACTTGTTGAAAAGAAAGTTAAATAACGAAAAGGACAAGAACAATATTGGATAAATACACAAAATCATGAAAACATGAAAAACAATACCTGATTGTAACAACGATATAAAAAAAGGCATTGGAAATAAGGATATATTATACATAGTAAATAGTAATACATGAGCCTGTGCTCTGCACACACAATTTTCACAGAAAACTAGCCCAAAATATTGGAACAGAAATAAGAAAAGTTAAGAATCGTTGTAACAAGACTGCGATATAAACATAAAAAGGAATGATAGTCCTGAACATAGAGACTCAAGATTTATTTCCACCAGTGGGTTTTTGATTCTGTTTAGCACCGGTATTGGTACTAGTGTCGGTATTGCTCGTAGTACTACCTCTGCTTCCCGGTTTTTCATTAGCGCTTGTGCCGGTCCTGGATCTACCATTGCTAGCGGGATTGCCCCCAGACCCGGTCCGATTGATGGTGGCATTTTCGTTGTTTGCTTTACTGCCGCCACCGTTACTAGTAGGTTTTCCAAGATGAAACTTTCCAGTATTATCCTCGTATCCAGCTTTTCCATTGTTCGGGTCCCTGATGGGGCCGGTACCTGGTCCCGATTGTCCTCCCGAATTTCTGATGAATTATAACAGAGATTGATTTAGAAAAACATTCAAGCTGGTTAAACCTTTGGAGCGGTCCAGACGGTAAAAATTTACTCACTGCCAGAAGAAGGAATTGAATCCACTGTTGGTTTCTAGTTGATTGCTAGCAGGCACTTTCTGTTCGTTCCACCAGTAACATACATAACCGAAAAAATAATTTATCAGCTAAATCTGCATCACTGGGTATTTTTCATGAGGAAACCTGGAGGATCATGAACTCTAATTTGAGAGAAAGAGAAACGAACAGTGGTGGCGTAACAAGTCCCATAAGTAGAACCATTTTGATTCACTTTGGAGGGGTCGATTTTGAACCAAGCGAACTTTTGATCTACGAACGAGAGGTACGTTCAGAATCTGAAGCGTATAATGAAAAATTGAGAAACCGTTCAAGGAAGGAGTTTCTTCTATAACGCACTTGACATCCTGGTATTGTGGGAACATTCGGAGGCTTGTATTCCAGAAGCTACCGTGGCTAAAAGAAGGTTGTTAAAAAGAAATTGTCAGCTTTCAAAGGCTATCATTCGGCCTATCATTCCCAAACTTACGTGAGGCAGTCGCTATAAATTTTTCTGAAGGTTTTTTCCCTAGGGAATGCCCAGTGGCTGGATCACGAGTGGCGGAAACTCCTGCGCTTAGCAAGAAAAGACATAAAACAACTATTGAATCTTTTAACATGTTGTGATCTAAAATGGATAGTGTAGGTTGGTGGTAATGCTATTATATGACAAGTATGTAGAAAGAACGCACTGAGTTCTGTGGGGGAAGCACTGTTCCAACTGCCATCCAGTCTTGAGAAGCCTGCAATTATACCAGATGATTTGTAGAATCTCCAGCGCCAAGTCAAGTCGGCAACTTCAAGGGTTCAACTCGTCATGATTCATCAAGGCCGGCCCTGCCGTGAGACCGCTCACCAAACCCGAATATCCTAACGCGCAACCGATGTGCCCGTTGGTCATAGTGGAAACCGAGACGCGCACACCGATACGCGATTCACATCAGATAACCCCGACTTCAAAGATTCGCGATGTAGGCTTTGATGCAGTGATTCGGCGGGAGTTTATCTTACCCTGTCTACTAGCATCATGTCTTCGTAGTATCTAATCAAATGAAGATAGATATCCTTATAACTGTGGCCCAGGTGAGGGGGTCTCTTTATCTAGTCCATTTGCATGGCATTGCGAACACTCAGATATTCCACAAGAATCCTCGTGTTTTGTGACGTACGCTCGCAGATGGTTAGTAATTCTTCACGCCATTGCTACCAGCTGCATCCAGCACTTGTAAGGTATCCGCGATCAAAAAGGTAGACTTAGTTGGATGATTACTTTGCCTTTCTACGCGTCTCGGTTTATGAATGTGTGGGCCCCTCATTCGGTCGGGATGACCCAGGCCAGTGCTATTGTGCATCGGTACGCGGTGCTCCCCGAGGGCCCAGGGGGTTTAATGTCCAGTGATGACCTCAACCGCACGTCCATTTACAAGAACTCCCAATCGTCGAATCCGTCATCGATCCTCATCAGTATGATCTCATGGGGAGACTGAGTTTTCCAACCGTCTTCGACAGCTAAACCCAAGAATGGGAACGGCTCCGTCAAATTTTTACGCTTATGGTAGGATACAGTCCCTTCAACTGCTGAATATCCCACATGTGCAGCAATCAGGGGGTTAACGATAGCAATTCTTGCGGATGCGCTATCATTTCCGCGGGAAGCTGCTTCGCTCACCTGAAATTTTAGAGGGCAAGAGGTTCCGTTGGGCACAACGTCTTACATGAGAAAGAAAAAATAAATGGAACAGGAAGCAAGGATCTGCGTTTACTGTTGCGGAAACTCCTATTGGACCTCTGCTCTAAGATTAGGAAATTATTTGAAGTGCTTTTAATTAAAATTGCCTGAGAGTGTCCAGCACTGACTGATTTGAGATTTTTTTTTTCACCTGAAATCCTCTTGAGCCTAGGAAAGTCAGTCCAACCAATGTTGAAAAAAAGGTCATTGTTATTTCTTAGAAATTAGGGGGGGGGGGGGGGTTCACAATTGAAATTTATAAAATTTTAAAACCCATTTTAAGGTGTCTATCAACAAGGTTTTGAAACGTGAACAGGTTGAACTGATCATGCAGAAGCCCCCAATCCTGTTCCAATTCTCAAATTTCTGAAATCTTGTTGACGAAGGCCTTAAAATTGGCCTTACAATGTTATAAATTTCAATCATGTGTTTTCCCATTATTTGGGAAGATAACAATGGGCCAAGACCGACCAACATAATCACCCCTCTTGAAACTTTGAGCAGCAAATACCCCTAGGCCTCCTTTTTCAGGCATCTTCACCACCTTCATTGAGCCAGTATCTGGGGGATCATCAGAGAGCTCAAGGCTGTAGTCCAGAAGTTCTACAAATAGATGTGTTGGTATCACTACTACTATTCAGTGGCCATTTTGATTATGAAAGATGCAGTATTCATCTGGTATGTCACCTAGGATAGGAATAGGAAAACAATTTGATTTGAAGAACCCATTTTGGAATGGCTTAAGTTTGGTTGTTGAATTTACTTTATCAGGATTGTATACAGTCTTGTTGGATGAAAAAGACTTTGAGTGAACCTCATGTGTTGGTTCAACAATCAACTTCTTGGCATCTATATCCGACCTAATTTAAGTTGTTACAAAATTTTGGTTCTCTTTATTCACAAGGTTTTAGAAAGGGGGATGGAAAAATGAATCCCAAGGATTCATCAATGACTCCCAATTACAGTTGTCAGACATGATCACTTGGGAGTTGTTTTTCCAAATGGATGGCCCACTTTGGGAGTCAGCCATCCATTTGTATTTTATGTAATTTCTTACTTTTTTTTTAAAAATTTTTTGGCAGTCAGCTCCTGAGAAGGTGAAAGAAATGAATAAGAATTCCAACAGCTCCCAAACCACCCCTCATGCTTGTGGGGGTTTGGGAGTTGATCCCACATGACCGGAAGGATTTCCTTCCAGTCAATAAGAAACAACAACCTCATCAACTGGAAGGATTGACCGGAAGGAAATCCATCCTGGTCAATGAGGTTTTTGTTCCTCATTGACTGGAAGGGTTTTCTTCTGGTCATACGGGAGCAACTCCCAAACACCCACAAGCATGAGGGGTGGTTTTGGGAGCCAACTCCCAAAATATCACAAAAAAAAAGAAAAATTAAAATATAAATGGATGGCCTACTCCCAAAGTTGGCCATCCAATTTTGGAAGAACAACTCCTGAGGGATGTCAGACAACTGTAATTGGGAGTTGTCAAAAAATCCTTGGGAGTTGTTTTTCCAAAGCCCTTTAGCAAACCCCTTCCACGCACCCCTCCCTTAGATATTTCTGTTCTTGTGTTTTATTTTTCATCAATCTTGATATTTTCTGCAGCTTCAACCTCATGAATCAAGTGGTGTGTTTTTTTGGGATTTTCCCCATGAATCTGGAGTTGGTCCACCTGCTTTGTACTGCAAAGTAAATATAAAACTCCGTTCTTCAAAGATGTACTAGTAATACTAAATGTAAGCTTCTTTCACTTACTCATCCTCCCTTTCCTTTTTCCCCTGCAAACTGTCCTTCTCTGTCTCACCATCTTTCTCCTCAAGAACAAAATTCTCTTTGGTTTTCAGCCCATGTATCAATGCTGCTGTTGCAGAAGCCTTTTGACTGATTTCTGGGTTCCTCCAATAGGTTTCTGCTTTCAAACAAATATCTTGGCTTCTCTTTTTTCACAATAGGGGGTATCAAATATAGCAAATCCACCTTTGCAAACCCGTCAATTATTTTTTTGAAATCCACGATTATTAATTGACGGGTTTCCAAAATCCACCTCCATCAACCCCAACGGGTTTTGAACAAAAAAACACACATCTTTTCACCCAAACCAGTCAATTAAAATATCCCATTTGTTTCAACTCATATCGCCGCCAATTTTCACTTGCACCGCCAAACCTCACCTCATCAGCACCGATCATCCCACCACCAAACTGATCATCTGACCACATCATCAGCACCAATCATCCCACCACCAACTCATCATCAACACCAAGATCGCCTCCACTCAAGCAGCGGTGGGCCGCTACGCTACGCTACGCTTTTGGCCCAAAAAGCGTAGCGTAGCGGCGCTTTTTTTTCATCCAAAAGCGGTAGTGTTAGCGTTTTTGTAGCGGTTTTTCGCTACGCTACGCTGCGCTACAGCGCTTTTAGCGGAAAAAGCGGCCAAAAACCGCTAAAAAGCGCTGTAGCGCAGCGTAGTGGGCCCTTTTTTGCGGCCCACACGCGTAGCGTTAGCGGTGTCGTGGCGGAATCCCGCTACGCTACGCTAAAGTTGCGTGGAATTCCGCTACGTTACGCTGCGCTAACCGCTACGGTTAGCGTAGCTGGCCCAGCGTTGACTCAAGTCCTCAAAAGCAATCATGCCCAAAGTATCTCGAAGAAAGAAAATAATCGAAGCATCCAATGTTGCTGCAATGGCCATGATGGACGATTCAGATTCAGATCACAACTCAGAACTTGAAGAATTTTACTTTTTCTCTATGAGTCAGCTTCAAAAACGATACCTAGTAGCTCGAAACTCCACGACACGATTTGATCCTTGTTATGACTTGTCTGAGCTTCAAGAACTTCCAGAATTAAGCTTTGTGCAGATGTTTCGTATGACTTTTCCTTGCTTCCTCAACCTGGTACAGCTCATCGAACAAAACCCCATCTTCTACAACAACTCTCGTAATCCCCAAAGGGATCCACCAATCCAAATTGCTGTAGCAGTATGTCGTCTTGGATCAAATGGAAACGGTTCAGCTATCTACAGGCTCAAAAATCTGTTTCAAGTTGGGTTTGGAACGATCGACCTGTATACTAGACGAGTCATTCATGCTGTTTATGGATTACGATCTTCTTTAGTCACTTGGCCTACTGAATCTGAACGAATAGAATCATCTCAGGTCATGTGAGAGGAAGGATTCCCTGGCTGTGTGGGATTTGTAGATGGAACAACCATCCCTTTGAGTCAGAAGCCCCCCAAGGATGGGCAACATTACTTTGATCGTAAGAAGAGGTTAGCTTTTTGATACTGCTGAATTATATAAAAAATCTCCCTTGTTGATTGATTGTTATTTTCTCTTGGCTGCTTGGATCAGATACTCCATTTCAGTAACGGTCATATGTGATATCAACAAAAAGTTCATTTCTTATTTGGCTGGATTTCCTGGCTCATCACACGATGCTTATGTGTTTTCGCACATGCAAGTGGCCCAGCAACCTGAAAAGTACTTCAACCAAAAGCAATTCCTACTGGCAGACTCAGCCTACACCAATGATCGTTATGTTGTCCCTGCATTCAAAGGCAAACAATTGCTCAAACGTCGTAACATCAATTTCAACTACCACCTAGCACAATCTCGAGTCAGAATTGAACATGCCATTGGCATTCTCAAAGGTCGTTTTGCAAGCTTACAAGAAATTCGAACTCAAATCCGTAATGCTGAAGAGATGAAGGGGGCTGTAAAATGGATAGTTACTTGCATCGTTCTACACAATCTGCTGGCCGATCTCAAAGATCAATGGAACGATCTTTATGAAGATGAGGCTCCTGAAGACAGTGAAAGTGACAGTGATGATGACGATGTCAATATCAGAAAGTCGCCCACCACCTGATTCAACAGACCAGATTCCAAAACCCAAACAAAATCAACGGTCCAGCATTATCGGGAAAAATGTTCAGTCTTGGTTGGCGCAAGGGATTTGAGCAGGACACAATCATTGGCGTCACGGGCATTGCGGAGAAGGTATCCCGAGACCGTGAAGGATACGAAGAGCTTCAATCACAGGTCAATGATGTTAGTCGCTTCGTTGGCCAACAATTTGAGGCCCTCTCCCGACCTATTTATCAAGAAGTCAAAATGCAACATAACACAATTGGGGCCCCAGGGTTAACACCTCTTTTCACCAGTGCCCCAGGGGATTTCACGTGTCATTTATCATACACCTTCGATAATTTCTCAAATAAGCCCCACACGGATCAAGATAGCTCGCCATACACGTTTGTCACATGGCTTCCGATTGACAAAACCACAGGGGACTTAATAGAAGATGATTTGGACGGATACGGCGGTGAATTCGTTTTCCCCAGACATGGATTCGGTATTGACTTTTCTGGATTTAAAGGAGTTGTTGAATGTGCTTGGAGAGCCAGACACATTCACCATCTCACTGTTCCCTCAACAACTCCCGATTCTTCTCCGCATGCTCGACTTGGCTACTCTGTCCAACTCCCGACAAAAACCAAAGAGGTAATCCAAAAAAACCAAAAGGGTGACTATAAGAAAGATCCCAAAAAGAAACACTGGAAAGTTCGTGACATGCGTGTAATCCTTGATAACTCTCAAACTTATCCCAGACCCAAAAAAAGACAACAAAACGATGACGAACCTTCCTCTGAAAATAACGATGACAACAAACCTTTGTCGAAACAACCCTCCAAAAAATGTCAAAGACGACAGCCCTCCAACAAACGTCAAAGACGTTAGCTTCTCTGTTACCATTTCTCTTTTATGTGATTGACTTTCCTTTTATCTGTTGTCATCGTGGTCCTCCAATATCCATAACTTCCTTATTTCTTACAACAAAACTCCTCAAACCAAAAAAAGGCCCTGTTTTCTCTTAACTAACCTCATTTCTCATCATTTCATTTTCCTCTCTTGCTCTATAAACAGACTGTCTATCAATATTCTTTGTGGTTGTCATCAAAAAAAAGTAATTCATCACATCTGTTTTTTTGTCTTGATGGCACTTTTATTTCCAATATGCGAAGAAACCGTTGAGTTAAGTCATACTACAACAAGATAATCAGAACGGGAGGCTATTTGAAAAGTTTTGCAATCCTCTCTATGTCTTCCATCGATTTCCCAGAGTCCAAACACTTCACCAACACCTCCATCTTCTTCACTTGAGCCTCGGCATTTGATTGGCAATCCAGTTTTTGCAACTCAAAATCTCGATCTTTTGCCTTCTCCTCCTTCTCCATCTCCAACTTTTTATCGTCCAACTTCATCGAGTGATCCCATCGTTTACCTTCCATTTCTTTACTATGCTCGAATTTTTTATCTTCCAATTTCAGACCGTTATCTTCCTTTTCAATCATCCTGTCGTACTTCATCTTTTCAAAGCCAAGATTCTCCCGAGCGACCTCAGATTTTCCTAGAAATCAAGGAGAAAGGAAGAATCGTTAATTTCCCAGGTAGTTAAAAAGTGAGTGGAATGTAAGATGACTGACCAGCATCTCTTTTCATCACATATTCTTTGTAGGCCAGAAAAGAGTT